CCCTGTTGGCTTTCACTTCCTTTATTCCCTAGAGCCTAGAGCCACTCCAAACCATCCTATCAATTACGCCTCATCAATATGTGTTTTTTTATTCTTCAAGAAAAATATCAGAATTTTTGGACTAATGGGCTCTTTTTTACTGCCCTCTGTTTCCCTGGACCTGTTTTTAATGAGACATTTTCTTAAATATTACTATCAATGCCAACATCTGACGATCCCAATGTTGAGTCAGACTGATTAGTCCCATCATTCTCTACATGTCTCTACATGTCCTTCATTCAAAAATATGTTAGTGAAATCAAGTCAAGAGAAAGAACCTGGGCTGTAATGTCCTACAGATTGATGCATTTATAACTTTGAATAGACGAGCAACTTTTAATTGGACCATGCTGAACAGTTTTGAGTGTTATTTGTACTGATACAGATAGATTTCTCTGATAGATTTCTCCTCTGACATTTTTATTTAAGTCTTCCATATTCGGTCAATATCAAAAGATTAACTATTTGAATAGCATACAAAACACGACTCAGAGATTGAAGAAGTTCCCTTTCATGGGGAACACATTGTCTGCATAGATTGACAGTTGAAATTAGGGATCAATTGAAATGAAATCCCTAAACCAGAATGTGACATGAGCTACGGTCTCATGTCAGAAGGAAAAGTGGAACGCTCTCCTACAGCAGCTTCCTCCTGACCCACAGCCCCAGTTCAATGTGCTGGGTCATGTTGGCTCAGTGGCAGCCATGTGCCCTGCCAGTTAGTATCATGATCTTTACAAACATTTATTGTATGAAAACCTTGGTGCCCACTCGGATCTGCTCCTTTAGCTTTCGAGTTAAACAGGCCGAAGCAGCTCTTGTATGGTGTTATCAGTAGAGAAGGCTGTATGCAGCTTCTCAATGACATAGCTCCCGGTCATGTGTTCATATTTAGTAATACACTGCTGCGATCATGTTGGCTCAGACAGCACCATGACTGCAGGTCTTACTGAAAATCATTGTACACAGGGTGAAGGATGAGAGCAATTCTTCCAGTGTATGAGGCCACTTGTCTCTTGTTTTTGTAAAAGACTTGCTCTCACGCCTCCCGTGCCATCTTGGGAAACTCTTTTTGTGTGTTATTTTCATTGCTAGTTATTATTTTTCTATAGAGGGCCTATGTAACCAATTTGTTTACACAAGATATTTCATGTACTTTTTAGGGATGATTAAGGTTAGGCTTGGGTTTATTACCTTTAAACATTTTTCAGGATTGCGCTGAAACTATTATGAACACTACTCTGCAGTGTTGTGCTTGGCCGGGTTAGACTAACTGACCAAATGTATTGTTCTCTGAAATATGACGTCCCTCCTGGAAATCCTTTAATTTAAGCTTATTCAAACCATAACTTAATTTAATTACCAAGCTTTTCCTAAGAAAGTGCTATTTTGACCAATCATTGCAATTTTGATAAGTTGCATAATGAAGCTTCAATCTCAAGATAAGATGTATTTTGATAGTTATTGTTGCATAGTAGTAGGCATGATCACAGTTCGTAGTTAGAACTTAAAGGGATAGTGGAAATCCGCGAATTTTGGGTTTAACTTATGTATTTTTATTAAAAATAAGCATAATACATTTAAAAAAAATTAATTTCATGCGCCTAGTTTCATTTTATTTTCAATTTTACTGCGCCCTCTCAATGAAACGAAATACTAAGGGAATCTTCGGATGATGACGAGAGCATAGGAAGACGGGCACAAACAATGGCGGACATTCAATAGCATTTGCATGTGAATAGCCGACCTTTATTATGGTGAATAGATGTGTTTTGTATAGCTGTAGTGCGACAGCAAATGCAGAGAATGGCGTATCGACGCATGCGTTTCCAAGAAACCCAGCCATTCGTCGTCAGTGGGTGAAATTTGTTCAGATAACACGGGCAAACTTCACGGAGCCGAAGCTGACGAGTAATTCGGCAGTCGTGTGCTCCCGTCATTTTACTGACGATTGTTTCGAGAATATGATGATTGATTATCAGTAAAAAAATCTACGTGACACAACGACATTGGATTAACCTTGAGATGCGTTTTTATTCCGTTGAACACAACTTTTGATCACAAATCAAAAAAGGTAAGACGTAATTATTGTAATATTTTTGGAACCGGATGTTGTTTACTTTCTCTTTTCTGGCTGATAGCTCCAGGAATTCGAGGTCTTACAGTGATGACATTACACCTGTGGAGTCTCAGCTTTAAATCGTATATCTTGTTTGTGCAGTTAAGATAGTAATAAGGGCATTTCTACCGTGTGTTGTGTGTAAAAAAGCGTTAGCATTAGTTAGCATTGTTTCGCTCAATGCTAATTCAAAGGCTTGGTATTACTCTTGTGTTTTTTCTAGCTAACAATTGTTCTTATTGTCAGTTAGCGGAGTTTCTTACCTTTAAAAGTGTATGAAACATTAATAGTTTCATAAATGTTAAGAAGCCCTGAGACATGTGAGAGAAAAAAAACTGGGAGGGGTCCACTGGGGGGACCTTCGGGCTTAACTGGTTAACAATGATTAATATTTGTAAAGGCTACAAGTGATCTTAAGATGCGTGAGCTATGCTTAGGGACCTACCAGTCAAGATTATTTGTGCGTAGGGGTGCATCATCTGGCGCCTGGTCCTGGTCATCCTCGCCATTGCCCATGCCGTGAACCATCACCTCGGGCTCGAACAAATAAGGACGTAATGGTCCATCGTCTGGCTCAATATTGTCACCATCGTCGCTTACTGAACCGGATTCAGATTCAGTTCCTAAAACGACATTTTCGTAGGAAAGCCGAGAGGATGTTTCTGACTCGCTATCATCACTGGATACCTCGTACAATCCTTCTTCTTTGTCTGGTATATTTGCCCTTCCACGTTCATTCTGCATAGACGCCATGGTTTGTTATCGTATCGTCTTCCTAAGTTTTCGTCACTTCCGGTTTGGCTGAGTCGAACATTTCGTTTCTAAAAAACTTCGGGGAAGCTGCAATAAAGTGCTTCTAACATGCGTAAGGCAATTATTATATTTTTTTAATCAGGTGTGATTGTTTTGGTACGTAATTATGCTTGTATATAAGTTAAAACGAAACTATTTGAGGTTCCATTTCCACTATCCCTTTAACTAATCCGAATTCAGGAAAATAACATTGTTTAAAAATAGGCATAAGTGATGCCTTCAGGAGCTTTTTATAGAAAACCTGTTCCTGGGACTGTCACATGACCGGTCAATATCTGAGTGATGTGATATTTCAAATGAGGACATCATTTAACCTTGTATTGTTAATGTGGGGAGGGTGGGGGTGGGGGTATGCCAAATGTGAGTTTTCATTTAAGATGAACTTGTTGAACTACTTTTTGTACACAATAAATGTTTTACATATACAGACTTGATATTACGAGTGGTTATTAATAAACAAGTGACTGAACTGCCAAATATTGCTCATAATATGGTAACAGCAAGAACTTCTCGCTTAGACAACATATCTAAAAGGAAAGCTGAGTGATTTGAAGATGAGAAAATAACAGCGCTTATATTTGTCTATAGTACTTCGTAGTGCGTTTTTGTGCATGTAAATGGTCTGCAAAGGCTAGAATCCCATAGTCTCCTCCGAAGGGAGTTTCTCTCCCACACTGCCTGAAATGACTCCTTTGATTACTTCTGTAACATAATGACATCACTATAACACTTTAGCTTCTTTTAGCTAGCCCCCCAACACATTGAACAATATGATAGGCTAAGGGTCAAGAGAGCCGGCCAGCTAACCAATCAGAGCAGACTGGGCTCTGATTTCAGACGGAGGGTGAAAAGAGGTGCTGCAGCACAGGCAGAGATACATAAAGAGCTTTTTGAACAATAAAGCATGGAAACATGTCCCATAAGAAGAACAAAGTACAGTTAGGAAACTTGAATAATGAGCATGATAGGGCGCCTTTAAGTTATTTGCTAGGTTGAAAATGTATCGTTTTTTTAGTTGAGTGCAGGAAATGGAAGATGAATAAAAGCAGTGTTGTTAATCTGGAGATATATACTACATGATACCAACGCCATATATTCACACCATGTGCAGTATAATAACTATCCATCGTGCACACCTTAACTCATGGAAAACATTAGAGAAAAATGTGGCAGAGCTGTAATGCAAAGTTGGAAGAGTGAAAATATAAAAGTAAAGGCCTATAGTATACCATAGACCAGTGCTCCTCAAAGTGTGGTCCGCGGACCACTGGTGGTCCGTGAGCGCCCCCTAGTGGTCCGTGAGTATATTGGTACAATTTCACATATTTAATTAATTAATTAATTAAAGTTTTCCGCACTCTCGCAGGAATATCTCCGCAATGGAGCGAGCTTAAGTTTCACTTTCAATTGCATGATATAACCCAGATAAACACCTTCATCACACATGTTGTCACTTGTTTGTACAATTTTCAGGCGATTTGTAAAAAACGATGTGTTTTTGGATATTTGTGGAGTTAGGTGGTCCGCGAGTGTTTTTTTATTGGTTAAGTGGTCCTTGGTATGAAAAAGTTTGAGAAACACTGCCATAGACTGTATATATAAATAAGGTCTATACTTTATTTGGAGCTCACGTGACCCCATTTTAGCCTATCCATTCGTGTTGTTTACATAATTTTGTATACAAATAAATTGTTAAAGTATCCTACTGTCTTGTTCAGATCTTTAGCTGTAGAACAGGAGTTATATCCAGGTAACTTTGTGTGGTATTCAGGGTTCAGTTCAGATAGTCACCTGTTATCACAACACAAGTATGCAATAAAAACCCACTGTGGGAAAAAGGACAATTTGAATTTAAAAAAAAAGAAATACACAATATAACATCTATGAATACATTTATTTCAAAGTAGTATATTTTAAAAATATTTTTTACATTTGTAATGATGTCTATTATTATAATATTGAACACTTGATATCTGAACACAGTCCCAGGGATGGACTCAGCAGAAACAGGAAAGAGGATTAAGACCAGCAGGCGGCAGTGATACAGCTGCAGTCAGACACCACAGAAGAAGAAGGAGAGCTACATGGCTAAGCTAAATCGGAGTGCTTTTGGGTTTCCCGTTTGTTTTACTGACTGTTCAGCTCTGGCTGCTGCTCCAGGATGCTGTTGGTTCTGTCTGAGGAACACAAGGAACACCTCTCCTTCCTGCCGCAGGTCGACGCCGCAGGTCAGTAACTGGTCCTGGCCTGGGTCAGTAGCTGGTCCTGGGTCAGCCCTGGGAGATGACTGTCAGCTGACTGCAGACCTTCATCCTCTGCCTCCAACTGTCATTAAGAAATACACACGACAGACCTTTCTATAACCTAAGAATCTCAAAGAAGTCTACACAGTTTAAAGCGTCGTTTACGTTATGCTTGCTTCCAGTGTGTAAACGTCTTGAGTGTGTCTAATGTGTTTATTTGAAAAAATATGGTTAACACCGTTAATGGATTATATAAAGCTAAAATATTATCTAATTTGCAAACGATTGATTAGCTGACCTAGATTATACCATCACAGTGCTTTTAACCTGTTTAAATATATTTAAAAGAGAAGCATTTTCCCACTCAAATGTCTTTCAGATCCTACCTTGTGACTAAATGTAATTAATGATTAAAAGGAAAACTATTTGTATGCAGAAGATGTGTAGGCTACACACGGAGATGTGAGTGAGCTCCTTAAATGTATATCTGCCTCATATTAAAGCTCTTCCTGGAAATCTGTAGTCCAGTCAAAAGTCTTTGAAAGGTAGACCAATTTCTCTGAAAAAGTAGTATAGAATGATAGTTTTATAAAGAAGCATACTCAAAATAAAAGCCCCACACATCCGTCTAGCTCCATACTGTGTGTGTTTCACCTTTCTGTGATCAACTGGGCCACTCTGTGCCACTGCTATCGAATACGTGTATGTTTAATGTGGGATCCATGGAAGTGTTTATTTAATACCTTTAGTTACTTTGTAGAATCAACACTTAAATCAGACTTTAGTTCCACCTGGAACTAAACAAGACAAGCTACCCTGCAGTATACAAAGTCATTCAAATTAGCTGCACCTTTACCAACTTTGAGAACACTTTAATGATCAATCATTATAAAATATATCATATTTCTGAAATGGACCAATCTGCACAATTCAAATGTTTGCTTTTGGTATTTTAAGTATGTTTTGTTGCTAATACTTTTGCACTTTTACTTGAGTAACATTTTGAATGCAGGACTTCTACTTGTATTACACTCTGGTACTTACTTAAATACAAAATCTGAGAACTTCTCCTACCTCTATCTGTGGGATAGATGTATACAAAGAAGGCAGCTCTAAGCATGTGGCTAACACCAGGGGAGCACTGGCTGCTTATTTTTTGCACTGCTTCATAATTGAACAACACTGTTGTAAAATAACAATGTGAAATATGTACTTTCTACTATTAACAACTGTTATTACTGGCTGTTACTCATTCATTTTTATTTACTTAATAATGCTACAATTAAATGAGAACACATTCAAGGTAGGTACATTAGTACCTACCTTGAATGTGTTCTCATTTAATTTTAATTTATTATATATTTAATTATTTATTACAAATTGTATTTGTGATGTCTGATTCTGAATTGACACTTTAGTGCAGTGACAAAATGCATAATTGTGTTTCTTTCCTCAGTGGTTGGGGAGTTCGGTCGCATAGCGCTGGAGTTCTTGAGGAGAGGAACCAGTCCTAAGATCTATGAGGGGGCAGCAAGTAAGAACACAGCTTTCATCACATCTTCCTTAGCAAGCAGCTCATTGGTCCACAGAGACATTACTCCGTAGGCAGCAGTGCACATTGTCATTTAGACAAACTGTATAAACAGGATTTATTAATGATGTTTTATAGTTTCCTTAACATGGAGCTTTACCCAAATGCTCATTACTTCTGGGTAAATGCTTATTGACCCACTGCTTGCAGGGAAGCTGGGTGTTTCTGTGGAAATGGTGCAGCATGGAGTGGAAGGCCTGATGTTCCTGATGACAGAGAGCTCCAAACACATGGTGACTCACACACACTCTGTTTCTCATTGTCTAATACATGTCAATGCACTTGATGTCAGTAGGCAAGGCTTTTTCAAGCTACAACATGCAACATTTAGTGATGTGGGCCATTCTTTCTGAGTTGATAGAGGTATCTTTTTGCTGTGTGTCTATTTTTGTGTGTGTAGATCTCTGAAGTGGATTTCCTGGACTCTGTGCTGGTCTTGGGTTTCAGTGAGGAGCTAAACCAGATCCTCTTACAGGTGACTTTACTGTGTGTGATAGGTGTGTGATGAGCTGCAGTTTTAAACTTTGAATGAACATGTGAGCTCTTCTGTATGTTGCAGCTCTACCTTCAGCACCACGCTCACATCCGCAGCATCCTGAGTCAGCTGCCCTCCAACCAGCCAGCCTACCACAACCTGGAGTGGAGACTGGATGTACAGGTGTGTATTTGTTTCTTTGCATTTGCCCAATCATCAGATTCTCTCTCTCTTTGTCCTGATTCATTTATATAAAAACCTGTCAGAAAATGAGCTGATCAGATTTTGGCCACTTTGTGATGTCAGAATGTTCTTTTGGGTTGTGCAACCATTAGCCAATAACCAACCAAGGAAACGCCCACCTTATCATCTGCATCTCCTCCTAGAGCAGCATTGTGTTTTTTTTAAAACCAATCCCTTCTCAGAGGGGCGTGGGGAGTGGCAGTTAATTTGTGCTGACATAGAATCGGCACTTTTTGTCAGCACATTATTCAATGTTATGTTTGAATGAGACATTTCTTGTGCATTTCTTCGGTGGGATACTTTCAAAATCTAACTTACTCTAACTTCAATCATTTACTGAGACCTGAGCACCATCAGAACTTGTGTGCCTGCCACTATGAAATAGTGAAAAGGCGGGTCAGAAACACTTCAGCCTTAATAACACAACCAATTTATTTAAAACCTGTTTGGTTTTTAAATATATATGAATGTCCGAGCTTTATAAATAGTGCAAGTATCCTTAGCCTGATGAAATTAGCTCAGCGCTAAAAGACCGCTAGCAGCTAATGTCTATATCAAGTGGTATTTTGGGCACTGGTTTTGATTGAACTTCTTCTTTTTCCATATTTTTCTCTGGTTTCCCTAACTTCTTCCGGCAGTTGGCGAGTCGTGCAGTCCGTCAGCAGGTGGTTCCCATGCTGACGCTGCGTCTGCTCCTGAGTGGGGTTGGTGACGGAGTCTGTGCCCGCAGAGGGAAGGTTCTCCAGACGGACCCCAGCACCCTCCTGCACCTCATCTCCACACTTGAGGCCGCTCTGGCTGCCATGAAATCCAGCCACGCTCGGCGCATATTTCGCAACATTAAATAACCCCCCTTGTTCAATTTGTGTGTAGCCTGTGCACATCACATTACTGCCTCTCCACCTGGGTGTCTTGCCGGGCAGCTCCTGGACGGTAAAGGAGGCCTACTTCCATCAGACTGCTGGCTTTATTACCCTGGGGTCACATGTGCCTGATGCTATAGACTGTATTGTATACAAGGATTCTAGAGTGCTGCTGATATTCTTATATCAGTTTGAGATGACATGAAAAGACTTTTGGTTGGTCAAAGCCAACAGTGAAGAGGCAGAAAGCCCTTGACTTCCATCTGTATTAACATGACTGGAAGTACTGTATGTTTCAGCACAGCAGAGCCGTTGATTATTATTATGAATATTAACATGTGTATTCAATAAATGTTTGTATTTTCAATAACAATGCCTACGAACCATTTATATGTTAAAAAAGTGTTGAAGAAAAATAAATCGCTGGTGTCATTATCATTAACTATTTGTACTGTTTCCACGCATACAATTATATTGATCGATATCTTGTTGTGTATGAGTGTGAGTAACCCATGCCTATGTTGATATTCCTCATGGGGATCCATCTGCCAATAGTATTATCATTCCAGGAACAGGTCATACTAAAATCTAAAATAAATGTTTTTGCTTTTACCTAGCGTTTGATTAATCTAGATTTTATTTGGTGAGTTGCCTGATGTTGGAAATATTAGTGATTGTCTGCCTTCTCTCCAATATGATGGAACTAGATGGCACATGCTGTTTCCTGCTCAAAGCCAAAACAATTACCAAATAATAATAATTCAATAATTATAAATAAATAATATAAAAAACATTTAAAACCTACAAATGGTAGGCTATGTTAGGTAGAAGTTATTTGGATAATATACATGAAAATAGTAATAGTAACACAGTTTATTAAATGATCATAAAAGGATACAAACACATTTAAAACAAAAAAACGAGAAGAAGAATACTTTCAGATTTGGCTATCAAGACATCCAGAGCATGCCCCCATAGTAAAGAAGTGCACATGAACGCACTGATAAATAAAACATAGCACAGATGGTGTGGTGTGCAGAGGAAGAGGAAGCAGCCCGGTGTCAGGCATCAGCTGACCGCCAGCCCTACAGGAAGTCGGTTGGCTAATTCAACATGGCTGCTGTCTGCGAATAGAGGAGGAGTAGTCCAGGCTATGAAACAGTCCGGTTTCTGACTCGGTTCCGTGTGTTAGCTGCTGTCGACGCTGCTCCGACATGGCCCAATGTGTTCAGTCTGTGCAGGAGTTCGTCCAGGACTCGTTTGTTCCCATGGTGGCCGTCTTGTGTAGTGAAGAGGCGGAGAGAGTGACTCGCAAGAACAACCTGAGTTTCGCTGAGCTGCTGCGGCCTTTCTGCAGACTAACGTCCGAAGGTAAGGGAGACTGTTTACCCAGAGTGTCCGTCTCACACGAAGCTTAGTGAGGGAGCTAGCGTCTTTAGCCTGTTGACATTAGCTCAGCGCTAGCAGGAGGCTAGCAGCGATGTTGACCGAGCGGAGGGGATGAAGTCCAGACTGACACCTGAGAGGGCCGACTGACGGACACCTGAGCTCTGAGCTTCTGGAAGACACACAGCTAACATGTCTGCTGTTCTTCTTCTTCCATTATCAAGAAATAACTTGACTATTCAGGCACATTATTGTCTTATAGGCTTGAGTTGCAGGCTACTTCCACAGAGCCAAGTCAACCGTGGTGACACAAACCACTGTCAACAGGAGGACAGAGCAGGACACAGGAACATACACTGCCATAAACTCACATTATTCACATGTTATCAGAACATATACTTACTACACAACACGTGTTTTATCACGTTATTACAATGCTATGCAACCTTTAACCTTAATTATCTCACTTTAACAATTGGAGGGGCTACATTTGTCAAGTAAGGTTGCATTCATGTCAGTATGTAAATGAGCTGGGACTGGCCCTTCACATTAAAGACACTCTAAAACATGAATCAATAATCAAAATGTAGAAGGAGGATAATGAACATCTTGAATCTGTCTGGGTTTTACCTCTGGTGTAATTTTGAAATACTTGTGTTGCTTTATAATACATTAAGATATATAAACTGGTTATATGATAGTAATTACAACTATATACATATTCACCCTCTCTGAATCCTGGAGCTTTCCTTTGCATGATGTCTGAGCAAGTCAGGATCAACTTAGACAGAAACTGAACTTGCTGATGGATTAAGCGCAGGTTTAAATGACATGTTAGACGCTTTTATCCAAAGCAACTTACATACTCAATACTGTGGGCAATCCTCACAGGAGCAATTTGGGGTGAGGTGTCTCAGGGACACAACGACATGCTGACTGCAGTGGGGTTTGAACCTGTGACCCCCTGATCCGAACACCAACGCTCTAATCCACTGCGCCACAGCCACCTGGTTTACTGGCAGGCTGCAAACAGCCCCCTAAATCAACATAATAACATGGATATGGGCCTCTGACTTTTTTTTGGTAATATTACTCAGGATATCTAAAGTAGAATTGCCATAAAGAATTGCTTCGATGGAAAAACAAACGGAGAACCGGTTTTACTGCTTATGTAATGTGTTAATTTATTTGTCATCTCAAAGTAAAAGACCAACTTTTTACGACTACGCAGCAAAACATGGATTATACAGTATATAATGTAGTATTACATATTTAATTATACTGACTTTTAGTATAATTAGGATACATTAATTATGGTCCATGGAATTAAAGGAAGACATGCTGCCTAGAGTTTTCAAAATGTAAATAGCCTGCATAACCAGAGGGGCCGTATTATACTCGTGTTCCTGTTCATTTGTGTATTTTGTGCCTCTAACGTGACATGTTTTCATGCTTTCATTTTCAAAAAGTTCTTTATTTTTCTCAGTCTAGCCCAGTCTGCTCTGATTGGTTAACTAACCCAGTTCCTTTGTGATTTGTCAACCTCTTACAGATGTCCCGCCCCTTAGCCAATCACGTACAATGTGTTTGAGCGTTATCCAATGGAAGCATGAGTGTTACATAGCGTGATGCCACCATGTCACGGAAGTAAACAAAGGCCTACAATGGAGGCGTTTCTGGCAGGGGGGGTGGTGTGTGTGTGGGTGACAAACTCCCTCTGGAGGGAACACAGGGATTTTAGCCTTTAACCCCAACAACGACAACAAATAAATGTCTTGTCTTCCTCTTTTCTAGGTCACATCCGGGACCCCAATAACCAGGTCCAGGTTGTGAAAAATCTGCGAATCTGTGTGAACAACGTGGTGACGAACCTAAACTCCCCATCTACCTTCAGCCCCGCCCAGCGCCGTATGCTCAATGAAGTGGTGTTATCCTGCCAGCCACAAGAGGGCGCTGCCACCAACGTGATCACTGCGGGAGACTACGACCTCAACTTCAGTGGTAAGACAAAGCTGGTATTATAGTAGACACTTTCAATATTTTGCGATTTAGTTGAGATCTTTCTTTCAATATGAGAATCACTTACAGGCTTCCGAAGAGAAGTGCACACTCTTTTAATTGATTTTTGATTAATTGAGTGATTGATTGATTGTTAATTGATCATTCCTGTGTTGTAATAGTGGGAGATTGCAATGGTAATATTGAAAAACCTAAAGATGGTCGTGCTAAATAACTTTCATCCTAAACACGTTTGGGCTGGATGTTACATATCCAACACATTGTAAAAATTAAGTTCCATCTATTTCTAAAGATCAACATATTTTTAAGGTTGTGGTGACTGTTGTTGCCCCTTCAGATTATTACAGTGTTTTAAAACAGCAATAATCCGACAGCGCTTAATCAATAAAAAACAAAACTTTTGACCCAAATGTAATGGATTTTTTTTACATTGCCCCCATTAAGATCACAGTTGTCACTGGTAAGAAAAACGCCCCATGGAAAAATGCTGCAGAGCTAATATCTCAAAAAAAGAGATTGTAGAAAGTCAGAACCCAGGCTCATTACAGGCACTTTCACAGCAAGTACTTTGCCGTACTTAGTTCCCAGTACTTAGTTCATCGGAACTCTTTAGTTCCCGGAACTAAAGAGCCGATCGCGTTCACACCGGAATAAGTTCCTGAGGGAGGATTAGGCAAATGAAGCCGCTGACGTCACTTCGTCTTCTTCTGCTTTGGGTTTACTGGCAGGCCGCAAACAACTTCACAGCGTATAATGCCACCCGAAGTCTCCGGCCGGAAGTACCCGGAGTTGGGGACTGGCTTCAGTAGAAGCTGCTGGGACTCCCAGCAGCTTCTACTGAAGCCTTCCGAGTAAATTGCCAGAACGCCGACACCTCCTCATCTCCACCGCTCCCATGTTTTTTTTGTGTTGCCATAAGTTAGTCTCTCTCCTTTGGTGCGCTAATGCTAATAATGCTAATGCCAGCAAATACAATGGCGGCTTCACAAAACTTTTTTTGTTTTACGGGGCGTGGTTTGCAATTCACCCAGCCAATCAGAAATTGGAACCTTTTTCTCCCCAGGAAAGTCCCTGCTCTCTAGCAGGGACTAAAAAGGGGTGTAAAGGTTCGCAAAAAAAAGTTCTAGTTCCAGATCTTTTTAGTGTGAACGCAAAATCCCAGGAACCATCGGAACTATTCCTGGGAAAAGTACTCCGGTGTGAAAGCGCCTGATGATACATCTGGAGAGAGGCTTTGCATCTATAAAGGCTTTGCATCTATAAAGTGCCAGGCAACCCTTTTACTCTGAAATCAGTAATGTACTAAGTTACAGTGTTCTACAGACTGACAAGCCCCTCAATATTAGTCCCTCCTGATCTGTTATCTGCCAAGTCATTCAATGATGTTGCTTTTTTTTGTCAAACAAAGCTCAAAATAAGAGAGAACGTTTTTCAGCTCCTCTGGTTAAAAAGCTATATCATCTCTGCTTCTGCAGAAATGTTCAGCCTCTAGATAAAGCAACCTGTACATAAATAGTACGGAAACTTTAGGCGTACCACCTGCTGTCCCTGGAGGTAATTGATGGATTTAACCGGTTTTGGCATCGTTGCAGCTTGTGAATTATTTTGGCAGTAGCGCTCATAGTTCCCTTCTCAATCATTGCATCCCGTCTTTCACGTTGTGGAGGAGGTGTTAGGAACTTTCTGGAACAATAACGTAAACAAACGATGACGTCTGAAACATTGCCTTGTAACATGGAACATTTCATGGACCAAGGCATAGGACTTGCAATGGAACAGGTTGTTGAACACGCCATGGTACACGTCATGGAACTTATCACAGAACATGCCATGGTACACAATGAAACAAGCCATTGAACAAGGCATGGAACTCGCCCTATAACACGCCATGGAGCACATCATGGTACAGGCCATGGTTAGCACAATGGTACACGCCATTCTCCAAGCCATTCTCCAAGCCATGGAACATGCCATCAAACACGTCAAGAAACATGCCATTGAACCGATGGTCTCACTAATGAATTAACTTTAAATACG